GAATTTTTTATTGTACGCTCTGTATTCATATACAGAAATATACCCAGTTCATATACTTACTTTTTTTGTATCAGTCTTTGAAGTACGATTTTTTGTAATGGTTTTATTTTCATCATGAAACTCGCCATAGGAAAGTGAGAACGCTCTAATTATTGCAACGGCTGAAGATGGCTCAAAACTGAACCGAAACGTATCGGAATGTGAAGAGAAATAATAAATTCTATTGAATTTACGCCCCAGGATCAGCGTCCGACCCTTACTGCCCCGATTTCTCATTTATTGGGTTTTATTTTCTTTGTTACATTTACTTTCTTTCTTATCTTTTCCACATGTTCTATTTTCATCCGATGTTTTATCAGTATTTTTATTTTTATTTCCATTCTATTTTATTTTTCCAATTTTTGTCTCTATTCTTTCTTGTAGATTTGTGTCACCTTTCGAGTTCTAAACAAAAAATGTATTATTTGTGCAAATTTATCGGTTGTCAGCAATTTATTCTTTTTTAATTATTTTCTTAATATGTGTAATCAATTTTATGAGAAAAATATCAAATACCGTACTGTTCGAGATCCGTCGAACTTTTCTACGCGAAACATCGGCTCGAAAACATTATTATATTTAACATCGAGAAATACCGATGTTTATGTTGTTCGAGCTCTGTCGAACTTGTGCGAAATATACGTTCCCCGCGATCCTCGCGCCCTCGAAGCCCATCGATCGCGATCACGCGTTACGAGAGTGCTCCCTTATTTGTCGAAGCACGGAAACGGCTGTTTTGACGCGTGATGTGACCATACGGACGAATAGCGATTCAGCTCTCATCGCGCGTTCGTTCCTGAAAAACAATCCTCTTGAGTAAACGGCGAATTCGCTCGCCTCGACAGTCAGTCGTTGCTGAGGATTCCTAGCCTCAAGTCGGGAGCTAGAACTCATAACCAAAAATCGTCGCGTATCAATCCTCGTCTAAAGACAGCACGGCTCTCTCCCACTTAAATCGCTGCGTGAATCGCTACTCGCTCGTTTCGTCTTAAAGTGCGGATCAAAGTTCCTTATATATTTAAGTGTGCTACTTAGCGAGGGGTCCGAAAACTTCCGGTCGTGCTCCGCTCGCGATCGTTCTTCTGCCGCGCGCTCAAGATTTCCGTTCGACACGTACAAGATCTCCGCTCCGCGAGAGGCTTCGATGCGAGAAGCTGAGACAAGATTTCCGTTCGCGATAC